TATATATAGGGAGAGGTTCTAATAAAAACCTAGAGAACTAAAAACCAATCCTAACCCTCTAATCTATCTAATCCAATGGCCTACATTTCAATGGCAGAATTATAAATATAGACAAATTTAATACACATCATTAATGTGAAAAGGGTAAAATTGGAACAATTCACTACATTAATAGTGGCTGGCAACATTGGAAATCAAAAATACAACACGTGGAACAATTCACTACATTAATGGTGGCTGGCAACATTAATGCTTCTCTGTTGAGTTCTCCATTTCCCCATTTCTCTCTCTAACTCACTTCCTGCTCTCTGTAACTCATTTCCATCTTCTATCAAGCTTTGATCTTCCATCTTCGCATGAAGAACACAGCAACAATTCATTAAAAATCATCCTAACCATCCAAGCTTTCGCTGGAGTGAATCTGGATTCACTCCAGTGAATCTGGATTCACTCCAGTAATTTCATCTTTTTGACTCAATTTTATTTGCCTTAAAATTTTGATTAATAGTTTTTTTTCTTTTTCAGAGATGGAAGAAGTAGTATTAATAAAATAAATTTTCACGTTGCACTGAAACATGGAGTTTTACACGTAAATCTAAAATTATGAAAGTTACATAATATTAGTAAAGAAAAATTATGCATAATATTATTAAAGAAAAGCAATAAAGATAGCGAAACATACCTGTTGAATGAGACACTAACGAAGGTGATTCTAGAACAATTGGAGAAATTGCTATAAAAGTTATGTATATATAAGCTAGTATATACAAATATCACCGTTGAATCAAATACACAATATTACTAAATAAAGACAATGAAGACGAGAGGACATACATGTTGAAGCTTTAAGAGATGAAATTGCTATGAAAATTATGTAATTTCTTATTTTATATATAGCTAGGCAAAAGAGTTATACGTGAGAGGATAATACTTTTAAATAGAATAAATAATTGAAAACCCCAATTTGTAGTTAAATTAAATCTGTTCACGTGGATATTGATGAATGTTGCATGTGGGTATTGTTTTATATCTAGGGAAGCAAATCTTAATATTAGTTTTAATTATACTTAATTTAAATATGATGAGCATATAATGTATGCAAGTACCAAGATAACATAGCGGATAATCTTAATCTCAATATAATTTTTAATTAAAATAACCTAGCTAATAATATTAATCTTAATATAATTCTTAATTATATACTTAGATCAAATATGCTTAAATCAAAGATGATGAGCTTATAATGTATACAAGTACCAAGATAACCTAACCAATAGTATAATTTGATGAAGATCTCATATACGTACAAGTATCAAGATACATAACCTAGCCAATAATATTGGAATTATTTTATTAAAATATTATCAAAAGTACATATTATTTACCTATTAATTAGAATAGGATAGGATGTTTAAGCTTATATCAATTAATGAGAAAAGTTAATTAGGATAGGATAATATTATAATATCTAAATGGGTCAAGAATATTTTTGTCCTGGGGAAATTTTCTCAAACTCTCACTTTCAAAAGGAATATGATATGATATGACGTGATTATAACTTATAACTCCAAAGTTTTAGCTGAGTTAT